CTAACAAACAAGAAGCCCCATTTACCTTACAGTCTTAAAGTTTTGCTGCCAAGAAGAACTGGAGTGATCTAGACAGTATACAGCTCAATACAGTTGGAGGACTGCCATGTTGAAGGACATTTCATGGAGTCAGTATCCCTGAAAGGGCTTTCCACACTGCAGTGCATGGTCAAAATCTGAGTATTTGACTGGCAACTTCTTATCCTGAGACAAAATTTCAGCAAAGAATTTGCTTTTGGGATTCTTCTTACATGGAAAAAACCTGACAGCTTTTTGCAATGCAATACCACAATGCCAAAGTGGCAGCATGTTCCAAATGTGCTGCAGTGGTTTTTAGTCATGTACACTCTATGCTGCCTTCAATGGAGCCAACCAGCTCCATTTGGTATTGCCACTCTGATCTGTTATGCCCCTGCTTCAGGTCTAGGACAGCATGATTCGGTCAGGCTCAGCATCACAGCTTTGGTGATGGAGAAAGTCTGATTTTCCCATTGTCCGAGAAAGCTACCACCCATCCCCTCTGAACTATTCCAGCTTGGTGGGCAAGATGAGCCCAGCAGAAATGGTCACCAAGATAAATCTCAGGCTGGACAAAGATGAAATCTTTGGATATAGCTATCAAGCCACTTTGAGATTCAGATTGGAAACTGTTCAATAGTAACTAGTCTCTAAGATAGCAATGGTGGTAATTCCAGAATATTATTGTGAGGTGTTGGTGGATAATCAGACTGAGGACACTTACATCTCTAGCCACTGTAGCTTTAAAAACACTGTGATAAAGAGCCCATGGTGGAACCAAATCTACAGCAGCAGACTTAAATCAACTTCACTGTACAGCAGTGTTATGTAGGCGCTGAATAAGGTTGAAGATAGACTTTTTGCCTCTGTTGTCAGCAAAGACAAAATCACCAATAGAGATATTTGCAGATGAACTCCATAACACCATCACCACTAATGCAGGCTTTGAAACACACGGGTTAGGATAGAAGATCACTCCATTTTCAGCATTTTGTGCAGTTGATCACCAGATGTCTGTATAGTAGAGCCAGTCCATAACCTTACAAAAGCATGGTCCAGGTGGCCTTCGAGAAAATGAGAATGATAGGTCCCTTGCAGATTTTCTTGATGATGTTGCAGGAATTTATGCTATCAGTGCATCATAGAAGATCCTAGAGATGGTGGTGTAACTAAGTGCTTTACAAATGATGCAGCAAGGGTTTTGCAATTCCCATTTAAAGACTGGTATGGCAGAATATGATGCTCAGCTGTAAAATGAAGTGTAATATATTGTAGAACAATAAAATGAAATGCAATATAATACAATTAACAAAAATACTTTATCGACCCTATTTTGAAGGTGGCACTGGTGGAAACGATGATATTTTATTTTGTTTTCTTTTGGTTTTCCTTCCCTTTTTGGGATAGGGAAGACTTACCAGCAGTATGATAAATTTTTGTTCAAATTTTGCAGATTTGGAGAAGAAAAAATCTTTCAAGTTGTAGTCAGCTCCAGCAATTGCTTCAGCAACACGATGCAATTGCTCACTGCCTCCCATTGGTGTTTGGCTTGTCCCCCATTGTTGCCTGTCTCCCTCAACCAACTCCTCATGGTTTCATTGTTTTACAACCTACTTCACATTGTATGAAATATCCTTTCAGACAGTTCAAGTCAGCCGTCCTGGTTCTGTCCCCTCCCAGCATCTTGAGCTCAGCTTGTCCTCCTTGCTGGGAGGACAGAAGGAGAAAGAGGAATGTCCTTGGATCTGTGCAGAACTGCTCAGCAACAACTAAAATACTGGTGTTTGATCAATGCTTTTTTTCTCCTAAGGCTGAAACTTAGCATTGTACCGGACACTAGGAAGTCAACTGTTCCAGCTGAAACCAGAACACTGACTTTTCAGAGGGGACAGAGAGTGGTTCAGCAATCATTTCAGCTTGGGTTCTTGAGGAATTTGGACACTGTGCCGCACTGGGATCTGGCCAAAACTGTGCCAGGTGAAGTGAGGTCTGAGAAGGAGACAACTCTGTTGTCAGTGTCCCTACTTCTGCTCATCTCAGCAGAAGCAGGGAAGGATTAAGCTGACAAATGCATGTGGGGGAATCTCTGATCTTTATTGTGTTGGTGTAGCACTTTGACAGATTGATACACTGGGAAAGGTGTTATAACAAAGGTGTGATAACAAAAGGACTGGCATGATAGAGAGGTACTATAAAGGAAGGGAAGAAGATTGCTTGCCTGTATCAGAAAATTGCAGATTTATAGGAAAAAGCTTCACCAAGGAGAAATCTCCAGAAAGAGAACTTTCCCCAGTGGCAGTCAGCCCTTACATGGGGTCTAAGAGAGGTGTAGCCAGGCTTCACCCCTTCTGGTTGCACAGCTGAACTGTCTTCAGCTGTGCTTCCAGGGCTGACCAGGTCCTTTTCCTAGCTGGTCAATCAGTGGTTTGGGCTGTGATTCAGCAGTTCCCATGCAGTTGGACTCGGGACCAGAGAAGGCAGGTAGGACTGGTACATGGCTACTCCTGTGCAGGCTTGGGGGCTGGCTGCACAGACTTTGACTCTGATGTTGGTTCTAGGAGTAGCTTTATGCCTAAGGTGGTCCCAGGTGGTGGGTGAGGCTCGCCAGCCTCTAGGTCCCTGGGTCGTCCTTTCTCCCCTCCTTAGAATTGGAGTCGTGTTTCC